CAGAGCATCCTCCAGCTCATTCAGTTTGTTCTGGGCATCCTTGAGCGCGTTCTCACCACGCTGCTCAGCATCACTAATGGACTGCTGCAAGCTGCTGATCTGAGAAAGGAGAAAAAGCACTTGTTCACATTATCGTGGCCCTAACCTAGCTACTCAGCTTCTCTACATTTCTCAGCATTTCTCAGTGAACTCCAGATCCGTTCAGATTACATAACCCCACACTGATCTTCCCACTGCAAATCACATCTCCCACCTGCTGGAGCCAATACACTGAGTCCCACTGAACCACTGCACCTTACGTCAACTCTGGAGAGCACGCTGATGTGCTGACTTCCTTCAGCCACCTTAGAGCTCACCCAGCAGTCTCTTCTGGCCCTTACCTCCTCGCTTCCTTTCCTCTCCTTCTCAACTCTGAAGTCCTACTTTGGTCATGGGCTAGATCATTCCTACTGATCACCACATCCTTCTCTCCTAAGTCATTTTCACAACTTTCTCTAGGAAAATTCTACATGATAGCTAAACTATGAAAACCAGCAGAATCACCAAAGGAATTAAGGCTAACATCTCACCTTGGTATGGATTGTAAGACTTAAAACTAGAAAAGTCTCCCCACTGTCTGATGATTACCCCTATTCCATGCAGCTGAGCAGGGGGAAGAAAGTACCTGCTTCTTCACACTGTCAGTTTCAGATCTAAGTCTCTGCACCACTCGATTCAGCTCAGAAATCTCCATCTTTGAGTTTTTCACGCTGTCGCCATGTTTGCCAGCAGTGATCTGCAGTTCTTCATACTAAAGATGATAGATCACAGTAGTTAGATCGGGACAGAGCCCTGCACGCTCAGGCACACAAGCATAAGAGCTAGCACAGAACAGCAAGGTGAGACATTCTTGGGGAACTGGCTAGGCAGTCAGGCATTCACCTTGCTCTGGTACAGGGCCTCAGCCTCAGCTTTACTCTTTTGGGCAATGTCCTCATACTGGGCCTTGACTTCGGCAATGATGCCATCCAGGTTCAGGGTGCGGTTGTTGTCCATGGACAGGATGACATTGGTTTCACTGATGTGACTCTGCATCTGAGACAACTCCTATAGGACATAATAGGCCAATGATTCATAGTGCTAAAACAAAAAACTGTGGACACACAGGACAAACTTGGGAGGTGGGAGATAAATTTCTATTCCTCTGGACAGCAGTAGGTTCAGACCCATAGACTCCAGTAAGGGAGCTTCGGTTGAAATTAGAGTACTCACTGCTTCATAGAGTGCTGTCAAAAACTCAATTTCCTGCTTCAAGTTGTCGGTTTTTGCCTGAAGGTCTACCTTGTTCATATAAGCAGAATCCACATCCTAGAGGAACAGAGAATAACATGAAGCCTATTCTTTCCAAGGTGGATGCCCCTCTCTACCTATGAAAGTGTTTTCTAAGAAGTGGAGTTTGAAGTCTACTACACTCCTTTTTGCCCCAGAGACATCACAATTCCTAGAGCCCCTCCCCTCCTTTGACATCACTATCCAAGAAGCTAGCCTGTCTTACTCAGAACTTGCTTCCCCGCTTACTACAGAAAGTGCTGAGAAATATAGAGAAGCTGAGTAGCTAGATGAGGGCCACGGTAATGTGAACAAACAACTCTGCTCCAGATGCTCAGCAGCCCCACTACCTGCTTCTCCACATCGTGGATTCTTTCTGCTTATAGTTGGAGATCCTCTTCTACTATTTATTTCAGAGCTGAACTCCATCCTATAAAAATTTGCTTCCTTCTCCCTTTTTCTTGTTTGTACTGAGAATCAAACTCAGGACCTCACACTTACCAGACAAGCCATCGGGCTCTACCCCCAGCCCTTACCTTCTTGATGGTCACAAATTCATTCTCTGCATTTGTCCGCTTGTTGATCTCATCCTCATACCTGCAGGAAAACAGAAATGATTAGAGGAGGGGCACGATTCTAAAGTCCAGGATTTAGAATCTCAAACCCAGGATTCTACACTAGAAGGAGCATTACCTGTCATTGCCTTCTTATTGCAAGATATGACTTTTGGGCCTCTTGTTTCTTCTGAGTGATAAAATCCCTAAACTATTTGCAGCTTCTGAGAAGATGATTTCTGCA